CGGGCCTGCAGGAGTGCACTTTCCTTGGCAAATGTCTCCCTCAAGGAGGCCTGGACCTTGGTGAGAGCCTCCTGATCCTGCTGCAAATTCGTCTGGGAGTGTTCCAGCTGGGACATGTGGAGGCCGGTCAGGCTCAGACGCAAGGTTTCAAGCTCGCTGGTTTTTTGGACCTGAAGGAAATGGAAGCATAAGGTACGATTTGTGTGAGAGCTTTTCCTGAGCTGAGAAGTGACTGCATGTTGGAGGGAAAAGGAGGATTAAGTGTTATATTTACATTTTAGGCATTAAGCTGACACTGTTATCCTCCATAGCAATTTATAAAAAGTAGGATTCAATGTCTAAACTCCAAAGTAAGTCACTGTGTGTGACAAAATCCCTTTCACTATGAAATGGTTATGTAAAGGAGGAAAGAAGCTAAGACAGAGAGACAGAAGATTTATCATGCAGCATGTTATGTCTGACGATGTTACACTGCACCTTTGTGCGCATATATATATATAGTGTACCTGCACCTGCTGCAGTTCAGCCTGGTGGGCAGCCTCCATGCTTTCCCTCAGCTCTAACGACACCTCTGTCCTCAGTTGACTGAGCTCCTCAATGTGTTTGGCAGTCAGCTCAGAAATCATCCTCTCGTGCTCACGTTCAGTCACCTGGACGAGACAGATAATGGGAGACATGACAAGCTGAAAAATAACACACGGAATCGCTACAGAAAGCAAAAAGTTTAATAACTTAGAGACTTATTAATTTGATACCTGTTTGATTAAGCTGATCTGCCTCTTCTGTTCCTCCTCCATAGCGACACGCTGCTTCAGCAGTTCTGACTCCAGGTGAGTGTTCAACTCAGTAATCTAGGAATTAATGGAGTCAAACATATCCAGAAAATTACAAGACAGGAAGGTGCTAACACATATTTTAGCAGCACTAATGCTACACAGTCCTCTTTTTTTACTTTAATGGTCCATTTTAACAACTACTGGGTTCCTACAGATTAAGGCCAACCAAACTATTAACCAAAACCTAAAGAAAAACAAAAAAACATGAACCGACATCAAGTACTCAGGGTTAGTAACAATTTTGCCCCAATGTTATTGTAATATAAAATATGACTTTTTTATCTCATGACGGAGACAATGATAGAGAAAACTGTGAAACACCTGCTGTTTGTTGGCGATTTTGTGTTTCTCATTCTGCATGTGGGATTCCATTGCCTTGATTCCTATCGTGATTTTGTATAAAATAAAATGAGCCTTGTATCAGTTTCAGCCATGCCGCGAAATCTTTGTTGAAAAGCAAATTTTGGTTGAATTTGCACTTTGCCCAGGACAGAGTGACAGCTTGGTAGCAGGCAGTGGATCATCTGCTCTCAGCATCGCAGCCAAAAAACAAAATAGGCGTTTTGTGGGTTCTACTATCCTTATTTGTGTGACATTAATGTGAGGAGCATTTGGTGAATTATTTTAATGTGTCTGAAGAGAGATATCTGCACATCCAACTGTCTCAGATATAAGTGTGTTGGAAACTATCACTTGAGTCTTTGAACCGAAAAGCCCACACACTGCTCTCATTCAGCTTGACAGTTTATTAGTAACACTAATGTTTCGGTCCTACTGAACCTTCGTCAAGAGTGTTGAACACTCTTTATGTTTTTTAAAGATTATTTTTGGGCCTTTATCACAGTATAGCTAGAGAGTGATGGGAAAGGGGGAGAGAGAATGGAGAAGACACCCAGCAAAGGGCCACAGGATGGAATAGAACCTGGGTGAGTGCAAAGGGCTCAGCCTATATGGGGCAAACACTCTACTCACTGAGCTAGAGGCTGCCCTTAGGGTGTTGAAAACTCTTGACAAAGGTCCCAGTAGTGTGCGGGATTTTCTGACTCAAGTAAGACTCAAGTAAATTATTTTAAAAAATAGATGTTATTAATTATTTTGAGATTTTAAAACGCAACATCAGAGAGGGAAAAAAGGTTCATAAAATCCTACTTTGCATGTCTTAGCATTTTTAGGGCTTTTGAAAAGATCAAGACATTTTCATATCAATTAAAATTCAAATTATTTTTTTAAATTAATATTTTAAATGCTTTCAAGACATTTAAGAATCTGCAGGAACTCTGGACAAATATATACTCTGAATCCACATTAAATTACTCAGTGAGACACAACATAAAAATGGTTGAAAATTCCCTCTTACAATGCTAAAAATATTTATATATCTTGATAACTAACCAACAAACATATACGGTCAATGTGGGTTTCAGCACCCCCAAATATAAAAATATTGTTAGACGGCATGTAATGTGTGTATGAATACAAAAATGCACAAGTAACTAACTACAGAGAAGTAACCATGGAGTGACATGAAAAGGAAATATGGTTCCTGGGAGTAAAAATAAGTATTTCAAAATTGAACACCATGATAAATCTGTAAAACCAATGACATTTCTTTATTTTGTAATCCCACCTCCTGTTGATGTTTCTCCATCAGGTCTTTCATCTCCTGTTGGTGAGATGTCTTGAGCCTCTCTGTGGCCTCCTCAACAGCCATGAGCTGCTTCTCCAGGAGAGCCTTCACCTCCTCCTCCTTCTCCCTCCTCTGCTCCTCCAGGTGTTCCCTCACATCCAGGAGCTCTTTCTCCTTCTCATGTCTCTCCTCCTCCCATTTCTCCTTCTCTTCAGTCAGCTGTAAAAAACATTTCGTACATCATGTTAATCTCATTCTCACAGAGCAAAAATAAACCAACTCTTAATACTTCATATATCTCACCTCAACATCCTTGGCTTTTAGCAGGTTCTCAAACTGTTCCAGCTCCTCCTCTAAGACTTGTTCCATTTTCTTAATCCGGTCGTCCATCTCCTCCTCTTTCCTCCTGTGCTCATCTCTCTCCTGTGCTGCCTGAACCTGAGCCTCCTCCAGGTTGGCCAGGTTTTGTCTCAAACACAAGATCTGAGACTCCAGTTCATTCTTCTCCGTTTCAGCAGTGTCCAACCTGCCCTGGCTCCTCTCCAGCTCCTCCTGCAATCTTTCCACCTCTGTTTGAACATTCACAACCTGCACACGTGTAGTTTTGAGCTCCTTTAATGTGTTGTCCAGCTCTATAGTCCTTTGGCCTAGTAGGGCTGCTGTGGTTTTGTGCGTTGTTTTTATCTCCTCTAGCTCCGACATGAGAAGTTCACATTGAGCCTTGAGAAAAGGAAAAGAAGGAAATTCTTTTAGCTTTTTTAAGCCTTTAAGCACAAACACATCTCTGCTGTCTATTGTTACTCCATTCATCCTAAATTGAGTTGGGTAAATTAAAAAGCAACTGCGCCCAGAGACTGGCATGTTTACAGTCCTATTAAGCTGTTCACACAGACCCACTTATCATACTGGTGTACCTGTAGTGGTTGCAGCTGGTTGTCATCTCTAAGCTCCGGGCTCTGTTTGGCAGAGATTGCAGGCTGCTTTATCTCCTGCGGCGACAACAGCAGCAGCTCCTGCTGTTTTTGATGAGACGGGAAACCAGCCTCCTTCTCTTGCTCATTTTTTAGCTCCCCCACCAGTTTATCTTCCTCCTCTGATGGAGAGGTAGCAGGGGCCGGTGGGGAGGGTTCAGCAGCTTCCTCTCCTGTCAGCATTACTGCATTTTCTCTTGTGTTCATTAAGGCACTGAGTTTGTTCTTCAGGTTGTCTTGTTCGTGGGCATTCAAGTTCATCTCCTCCTCAACGAGTCTCCGCTTCTCCTTCTCCTCGTCAAGTTCCCAGAGAGCCTGTCTGAGCTCTTCTGTTACCTGGGCCCACCTGAGCATTCAAACATAGTTCATTAAAGTTATTGAGTTGTTTCAAATTGCCACTTTGCATGAGATAATACACCTATTTATATTTTTCAGTACTAGTAAATGAGTTTAGGTAAATTCACTGTTATCCAAAAGCTTTAACATAGATTTTAAAATACTTTCAGGATAAAATTCAGTCTGATAAATACAGTATAGTTGATCATTTTAGTTCAGGGCTAGCCGCCCCCTGCGTGGCCCCTGATTTCCAGGGCTGGTACCTGCAGTTATTCCACAGGCTAGTTAATAACATGACGGGCAGGAAATCCAAAGTGTGGGATCATTTTGAGAAGGTGAAGGACGAACACAAGGTGATATGTAAACTCATCTTCATTGGTCGACTACAAACATGACGCATCATCTGAAACATGGAAGTAGCTACATGCCCATTAGCCCACAGCGTCATTAACAGGCGGCTCGCTCAGTGTGTGACATGCACTTGTAGATAAAATATAGGCCTATATTAATGAAGGTTCATTAGTACGGTTTTGTATTTCTCTGTAATGTAGCACAGTGTTAACAATGTTACTGATACTATTCTTTCTCACACCTTCAACTCAAACCATTGTGTTGCCCCGCCCAAAACATATTATTTAATAACTAATATCATAAACATGCGGGCGACTAGTCGACTAAAGGCCCTAAATGACGACTTTTGGTCAACTAGGAAAATTCTTGGTAGGGGACAGCCCTGGTGAATACCAGGAAATTATACATTTATAATATAATAAACTGAAAAATTAAAATCCAAAAAAAAAAGAGATCATGAATTATCGCAACCATAAGGTCTTTGAGCATACATAAGTATGTATACAAAATATTAGGGCTGGCTGGTTCAGTAGCATATGAGATGAGCTGCATACCGACAGATACACACATGCACACTCACATCCAAACTCATGATCCCCTCCACGCTTACCCGTGGCAGAGACAATTAACTCCATTACCTGCTCCTGGCCTCCTCCAGCTCTTCAGCACTCTGGATGACTTCCTCCCTTAACACATTCAAGTCCCTGTCCTTGAGAGCCAGCTCCTCGCGGAGCTCCACACACTGCTGATTCAGCAGTTCCTTTTCCAGGTCAGTCTCCTCAAACTGCTGCTCGGACAGCTTGCTCATCTCCAGCTCGCCGGCAGTGGAGCTGTGGAGCCACTGAGATGGAGACTGAGGGTGGGAATCATCAGCCACAGGGATGCCAGGGGAGCACTGTGGGGTAGAGGTGTTGTGGCGGTTGTCACTTTCTTCGGGGATCCGGTTTGAGATTGACAAGAGAGGCTAGTCTCCCAGCACTTCACTGTTGAGCTCAAAACTGTGAAGGAGAGGCAGGGGGAGAAATTAGGGGATTAAATAAGCCTATAAAACAGAAACACAAACCGATAACAATTAGCATTCCTCTAACCTGTAATCTGCAGAGATGTCCAGCTGACTGCAGTGCTCAAAGCTTTCACTGACCACTGAGGATTGTGAGTGTGCAAGAGGAGCTGAAGACAGGTAGCGCTCCATCAGAATATCCCCAGGTATTGATACATTCATGCTGTCGTCATCAGGTCCACTTTCCACATTGGCCTCACCTACACTGATCTTCTCATCATAACTAAAACCAGCTTTTGCTTGGTTCTGCCGATTCTTAGAAGCTTTGAGTCCTATGACCTCCTCCTCTCTGAACCTCAGCTCTTTCTCCCTCTCCTCCAAAAGCTGCCTGACTCTCTCCACCTCCTCTCTGTGCAACTCTTTGAGCCTCTGCATCTCCTCCTCCTGTCTCTGGAGACGAAGAGCAGAGCTGGCCACCTCCTCACTTAACCTCCTCTCTGCATCGCCCTCTTCCTGAAGTCTTTTCCTCAGCTCCAGCACCTCTCTGTTCAGCTTCTCCTTCTCCTCTTTGTACTGCTGCATCTCAAGGCACTGAGTTTGGACTACGCTTAACTGGGTCTGGAGGTCTTGCAGCTGTGCCTCCCTTTCTTTTCGCTCCTCCTCCCTGCCTTTCTTCTCCTCCTCTAGCAGGGAAAGCACATATTGGTGTTTCTCCATCTCCTCTGCTAGTTCAGCACATATGCGCTGGCTGTTCTCCCTCTCTTCTTCAAGCTCGGCCCTCAGATTGTGCAGAAGAGTGTCTGTCTCGCTGTCGATGCCAGCGCTGGAGCCTTCAACACTTGACTGGGAGCCAGGACTTGCATTCCCAGATTCCCCTGATGGTGCCTCCTTATGATTGATGTCTGCATCTTGGGAGCAATGGCCAAGCTGATGCTGCTGTTGAAAGCTGAAGATGTCGGCCCCTGACTTACTTTTGATGCGCAGGAACTCTACACTGGTCTGTATGGAAGATAATTCAGAGAACAAGTTCAGCTGCTGTGCATATTAATAGTGATGTGCATATTTGTTGGCAACAATAATCCTGAAGTGCTGCTGCAGATTAGCTTTGAGTGGCACTTACCTGCTGGAGCTGTCTCTGTAGCGCCTGGATCTGTCCAGCGAGTGACTGTGCCTCCAGTTGGACCTGGTCTCTGCTGGCCAGGGCCTCCTGCAGGTTGGAGCTGAGCCTGGCAATTATCTCATTACGCTTCTCCACAGCCTGCTGTAACTGCTGCAAGTGGGATAAATGTATGGGTAGAGTTTTTTTATTAGAACATACTCTCTATATACACACTTAAAGGGCTGAGCTATATATCGATATGATGTCAATACTGCAATATAAGAGTAAGTATCATCTTAGATTTTTGGTCATCATAATATCTTATGTGTAGTCTACTAATTTTAAAGACTGCATTACAGTAAATTGATGCAATTTTCTACTATTTGTCTTCATCCACTGAGTCATTTATACCACATAACTTACTTTGATTATTGATCAAAAATCTCATTATGTAAATATTCTGTGAATGCACCCGTCAATCCTACAATATCGATATCGAGGTATCTGGTCAAAAATATTGTGATATTTTATTTTCTACATATCGCCCAGCAGAAAATAAGACTCAAAGACAGTACTGTTTGCCTACAGCATCAAAAGACACTGAATCAAACACTTTAAGGTAGGGCTGGGCGATATGTCCTGAAAATTATATCAATATATTTTACGGCAATATCTCAATACACGATCTCCTCAAAAGCATTTCATAAATGCTAGGACTGGGAGACAAAATCGTGAATAATATTTTTGACCAAATACCCTCTCTGATGCAACAAAGTTGTAGGGATTACTATTGTTGTTTTTTCCCCAGAAAATATTAATTAATACAATTGCATTTTTTTTTATCAATAATCACCAATAATTAACAACTGAGTGGGTTGAGGCAAGCAATAAAACAAATAGAAAAGTCTGGCAAGTTGATACATTTACATCACTTTACTGTAATGCTGCCTTTAAAATGTGGGGAAAAAGCATTTATGTCATATCACAAAATCTAAGACGATATGTAGTTTTATAACTCAATGATGATATATTATCCTTATATTGCCCAGCCCTACTTTAAGGCCACACCCACACTGATATGTTTTTCATGTGAAAACGAAAACGATCTCCTGCACACAAGCTGTTTTGCCGTCCATATTAACACCCCTGACCATTCACGTACACTAAGCATGAGCATATCGGTGTATGGCTGCTCAGTTAGAGAAAATAAAAGGGAGATAGCAAAAAGTAAAACCAGAGATTTATTTGCTGTGAGGAAGAGGTGGAACTGTTAATGAAAGTAAAACGAGTATAAGGCAGGCAAGGCGGCAGGAAACAGACTGGGAGTCGTTACAAGGCACAAACATTGACATGTGAACGCATTACTGGCCTGAAGCATTACCCTTTGCTGCAGGAAGCCATGGCAATGAGCAAGGAGTAGCCACACAAAAGGGAGGGATGGATGGCAGCTGATAAAAGCAGGTTAAAGTGCAGTGTCTATTTTAGATTGTTTAGGGTGGTTATTGCAGAGGGAATGAAGGACTTCTTGTAGATGTTTTTCCAGGCCAGTGGGACTTTGCCTGCCTGATGGCGGTAACTGGAGGGAGTGGTGGAAGGGGTGAGAAGAGTCCTATGTGGGTGGCTTTCCTGATCACTGAGCGGTTGTACAGTTCAGAGAGCGGAGTTTGGGGTGAGCTAATTATTTTGTGGCCTGATTAATTATGCTGGAGTTTTGTTTTGTGTTTGGTGGTGAGGGAGTTGTATCAGGATTAGTGTTGAAGGTGAGAATTCATTCAATGAGTGAGCGGTAAAATGTCCTTGCAGGCATGAAAAGTCCTGACTTTTCTCAGCAAAAATAAAATCACAAAAGGTATGTAGGCCTTACTATAATGTTTTGACTTGAGAGCTGACAACTCAGTTGGGAAGCAAATGTGAATATCTGCGTCATCGTTTCCAAAAGTCTAAAACGCAAGTCTGGAGTTTTCAAACTAAAACAGTGTTGGCAGCATTTTCAAAGATCTCTTTTTGAGGGGCTCTAAAGTGCAGGAGAGGTGTGAACGATAGCAGTAGTAATGCATTTTAAAACAAAAACGTACTTGTGTGGATGCAGCATAAAACTTCTAAAACTGAATGCAATATGTAATCCGCCATGTGACACTACAGCCAAGACAATTTGAGGCCTTGAATTCATGTTAACATAACTTCAGGCATTTTACATTCCCACAACATGACACACCCAATTTAAACTCATTCCCCCACACACACATAATGTAGAGGAACCATGCTGTATTTTCAGATCAGTGCAGCCAAGCAGCCATGCAGAAGAGCAGACAGTTACACTCCCCATGGGTTGGTGATGACACAGAACACAAACAAACACACACACCCACCCACCCACCCTCTTAATCACACACACAGAAATACCATAACAAGACTCCAACTGTCTTCCATGTAAACAAAGCATGAAGACAAATTACTCCATATGACCGACCAAATCTAAACACACTGCATGTAAACAGGAACGCTGATTTATAGAGGCGCTTCAGAGCCCAGTTTCCACTGCGTGAATTTAGAGCCTGAGATTATAATGTGCAAGTATGCATTCATGACATTAAACCCAGTCATACTGAGTCACAGCTAAGCCCAGATGAGTCTTTAACAGCAAAAAACAGACGACATAAAAGAAGATGCTTTAACATGCACTATGAAAAATGCTCCCCTGTAGAAGCAAGTCAATCTCTGTAAATGTTAACTTATTGACTGTACATACCTTTAGCTGCTCTTTGCCAGTGAGTGCAGCGAGCTCCTCATCTCTAATATCTTCCACAGGGGACAGGCTTTGCTCCAGGATGGGGGGCTGATCCTTCTGTCGTTGGTTCTTCTCAACCTCCGATTTCTCCGGCTTCTGGGGTTCCTATGGGATTAAATTGTTTTAATTTTTCCCCACTCTTCCTGATAATAATGTGAACTTTCCCTTTAAAAAGGCAGTAAATAGTACCACCGTTAAGCCTGACCAGGTTACTATGACAACATGCCCCCAAGGCAATGTAATGGTTAGTGACCTATTTCTCTAATGTATGTTTACTGAGCAGGGGGCACGGACCACTTGTTAAATCATACAGTGAGCAAACAAGATTAGACAAACACTGGAGGTCATGTAGTGTGACCCCTGAACAGTCCTCAGGGATTTCATGCTACTGCTGGATGAAAATAACCAGCTGCTTTTAATTAAACCAATAATATAAACATCCATTCAAATCAGATTTCTTCAGTCGCCTCTGTAACTCATATAGTTGAGTTAGCAGGCTATGTAGAAAATCAGGGCTGTATTCTCAAGCCATCTAGTGACTGTCACGTAACTTGAGCAAACAAGTTGTCAATACTGAAACCTATAACACTTGAAATTATTAGCTGTGTCTCAATTCAGGGGCTGCAGCCTTTGAAGGATGCGGCCTTCGCGGTTGACATCGGCCACATCCTTTGAGGACCGCATCAGCCAAACGGATCGGTCTTAGAAATGGGACGCTCTGGTCTGCGGAGGATTTCCTGGTTCCATCATGCAGACGGAGTAAGCTACGAAGTTATTTGGCCCTAAATCATGGACAAATTTTTTTATTATATATATTTTTTTATTTAATACTTGAGATGATTCACCACCAGAGACACCGCCGTTTGATGTATTTCAGGCTGACGGACCGTTTTCAGGTTAACTTATATTAAATTAAGATTGTTTAAGCTGGGAGCTTTTAGCTAACAGTAATGTTAACAACAGTTAGTTAACTTAATATATAAATCGGCGTGCAATGCATCTAGGGATAGGCTGGGCCACGAAGGACACATCCATTGCATCCTCCAAAGTCTAGGAAAGAAGGCTGCATTTTCCAGCCGCATTTGAAGGACCCTTCAAAATGGGACAGCATTGGTCGCGCCAATGTGACGCAATCGGTCTTCAAATGCAGCTTTGAAGGCTGCAGCCCCTGAATTGAAACACAGCTATTGTTGTCAGGAACCTTAACGCTTCCTTTTTGTAACAATAGCTTGTTTTCAATCACGTGACTATTATGACGTGCTAAATTCAAATGGAGGACAAAAGTGATACCTCTATTTGTAAATAGAGGAATCTGCAGGCAGCGGGTAATGTCAGAACATTGAAACCCATGTTAAAAGTGATCAGTATAAAATAAAGAAAAGTAACTTTTCACACAATTTGACCGATTTCCCCAGTGTGGACCCCATCGTTGTTACAAATTACTTCACCCTCCAGACCTCCTAACTTTACTAACATTACTAGGGGCGGGAATTTCCAGGCACCTCACAATTCAATTACCATTCAGAGGATTCGATAATAAAACGATATTGATGAATCACAATGCATCAAAATGTTACATGATATTTAATCTTGTCTTTCTTTTAAGTATAGCATACTGTATTTTTGGTGATCCATTATGAAATAAACAGATTATTTTACTTGCATACAGTGTGGCCCTTGTCTAGGTCCCTTTCCCCTTTAATCTACCTCCATACCATTACTTTTGAACCAGGGGGGTGTCTGTCGGACTGTATCTATCTGTGGATGCTAACGCTTATCCATTGTGGGATATACATATATATGGGATATACACACGCCTGCAAGCACCTCCTCTCTCCGTTACCGCTGGAGAAAGCCGAGACACTGGGCAGGCCAGGCACAGGGATTTTAAGGTAAAACAGACTGAGCAGAGTTATTTTCTTCACCACAGAGGTGTTTTTATCTGGTTAATGCTGCAGCCTGTGTTGGTCAGCTGGTTTACATGCTGATCGCTGCTCCTTTCATTAATGTTAGTCTCTGGGTGATGGCGTAAGTAAGTATTCACAATATACTTCATGTTCCCCTCGCAAGTGTAATTATTTAGACACTGAATTATAAAACAAGCTTGCAACCACCGCTGTCTTTGTGAAGATGAATTAATACAAGTTAACTTGAGCTCGTCTGCACTGTAGACTGTCCAGGAGCCGGGTTCCACCTCTTTTGTTCCGTCAACATCATGTTATGACCAGACAGGTACATAATCAATTATTGACATTTGTGAATCAATGCTGAATTATCCACGTCCGCATTGCAATGCATCTAGGAATCGTTTACCCCCCCACCCCAAAACGTTACACAGGGAGCTGATGAAAGCGTATAAGACTGTAATGGGCTATAGCTATTTTGTACATGGTTGGGTCCACGACTGAAATGAGGTTAGTAAATGTGCTTCAATACAAGTGTCTTTTATATTTTTACTCTGTACATGCACTGCTGTCAGGCTAGGTCAACCAGTTCCAGAGGTCAGGTGAAACGCCGTTAAAAATCTGGGTCATGGCTAAAAACACGGAGACGTCATCACAGCACATTGCAACTACATCCAAATCGAGGCATCTTCAACACAAAGCTTTATGTTAACATTTGACATTAGTCGACTTCTCCCCTTTACGTCATACTATTTTTGGGACTTACAGTGGCTGCTGTTTTTTCCCAATTTGATCAAGTGTAACAGCAGTAAACAGTGCAAATCATAGGCATTGGCCTCCAGTTGCTGCCCCCCATCTGGACAGCACACCAATGAATGATGGCATATGCAAAGAGGCTATTGCAGTTTTACTCTTTTGTCTTTAGTTTTTAATTCATGAGGCAGATTATTTTCTGCGCTGATGTGTTGAAGTACAGTACGATTATTTCAAACCATTTCCTAACTGAACTTACAGAACAATTACTGTATCATGATATATATCGTTACCTTGATATAAAATTACATATACCGTGACAGAAGATTTTGGCAATATCGGCCACTCCTACTCAGTGACGTACCTCATGGTTGGTCTTCTTGTTCAGCTCTTTGTCACTGGCTGAAGGAAGTGCTGGTTCTACGCGGCGGCCTTGCGTCGCTCCGTCATTCTGCGAGTCAGCCTGGCCCTTCCTCTTCTGCGTCTTTTTCGGCGCCCCCGCACCGTCGCCTTTCGCCCGCTTCTGTCGGTAGCTAGCAAGCTGCGCAGGAAGGACAGCGAGAGGTAGATGGACACATAGGTCAGGACCACTGAGCACCACCACACTATAAGCATGGTGAAGCTCAGGGGTCGAAGGTGAGAGAGAACTGGAGTCCAGATTTATCTCCTCAGTTGAAAAATGAAAAAGTTATCACAGCATCATTCTGAAATCCTGTTGCAATGTCTAAATGCATATGCGTGCAAGTTGCTCTGTAGAAAAGAAACCCTTATTCTGATGAGTCAGAGTTGTGCAGCAAAAAAGACAGCGCCCAGTGAAGCGAGAAGAAATCCCAAACTCACACCCAAAATAGGGCTACACCATAGCCTGACAAAGTAGTTTGAAATGAGGTGACGATGCTAAATATTCTCAAATCTCCAGGGAGCTGTATCAAACCCACGAGAAGTGCAGATTTTAGTGACACACATCGGACAACCTCTCCGCAGACCAGAAACAGCACAAGGTTAAAAGAATTTCAAAAAAAAAAGAAAGTGCACATCCATCTCGGTCTCTGCATTTCTCAGCAAGCAAGAAAGTTATAGTGAGAGACGGAGAGATGGCTGAGCTTTTGGAGGCATCACAAAGTTCCCCTTGAAATCATGACAGGACAAAAAACACATGAGAGAAGTTCATTCACAGTAAAAAACATCGTCCCCAGTCATATCATGATATTTAGCTTGAATTCCAGTGGGACTGATTTGGTACAAATCCACTGCAGGCCGTTTCTCTTTGCAACACACTCCTCCTCTTTTTACCGCTGCCTCTCTCCCTCTCTCAGCCAGTCTCTCTTCTTTAAGCAGCTTAAATCAGATTACAGCAGTCCATATTGTAACAGAGACCCTCATGAATCCCTCCATCAATAACTGACAGTCAATCATCGACTCCATTTCTTGCTGCTGGTAAGACCTGTCAATTCCTCCTCATCAGAGCAGCTGCTCTGCTGTCCAGATGTTGATCTTGCAGTCTGAAGGCAAAACCACATTGTGCCCAACCTTTTTAGCCTAAAACTCCCTGCCACAGCCAACGTACAGTGCAGAGGGATCCACAAACTCTGGATAGGGGATGGCATGTGTCTAGGCTGAGGGAAGAGGGTGGAGACTGGGAGATGCATTCACATGGAGAGGAGGAGACAGAGCCGTGTGTGTGGCGAGCAGCATCAGAGTGTGCATGCTCTATTCAATCTGAGATTGCATGGCACCTGGGGAGCTACTTGTTGCTTTGTGTGATGAGTCACATGCATGTGCATGACAACATTGTGTGTGCATGCACATTTATTCTGATGACGTGCTACATGCCAGGTTATAAAACCGCATTGTAAATTTGCTTTGTGCTCCCATTTAGCACCATGCAGTGCATCCATCAAATCATATCATCCTCCTCTTTTGACTACTAAAAGCAAAAGCTTTGCTTAAAACAATCTTTACCTTAACTCCATCGCACTTAAATCTCTTCCCACCTCACATTGCTCATCTGCTTTCATACAGATTATCACTTGAAACCCCACCCTTTGTGTCCTTCCATCACCCTGCTCACCACCTCCGCCTGCCACAACACACATCACATCTCAGAAAGAAATATTAGCCAGATGAGCAGTGTTTAGCCCAAGGACGCTTTCTTCCGCGCTACTGAGAGTCTGACTAACTGGCTGGATGGAGCTTACTGTGGCCACATCTTATTACTAGTCTGCTGAATAATACTATTGTGTTTTCATCAATGTCAAAACCAAGACCATTTGATTTATTTTTGGGGTATGTTTGTGTGTAATTTGTATCCCTACGTGCAATGCTTTCAGCGTGGCAAATAAATCTGAGCATTGTGATGCGCAAAATACAGTAAAGGCAACTGACAGCACTGCATTACCATAGCAACACCATCCATGTGAGATGCAAGTGCAACATATTGAACCTTGCCAAATCTCATGGGCTCACTGCACCACCTGATGGCCTGCAACTGGCATGACAGGGTATGTATGTGACTAACTACAGGCAGGTGACAAATTAAAGGAAAACCTGAATAAATAAGGGGAGAAACATAACAAATGTAGATGCCTCTATGCAGGCGAATTGCATGGTAAATTTAAGCAATTAATATCCAGCCATGCTCTGTAGCATGTATAAAAATGAGTCGACACCTGATCTTAACCCAACTGAACACCTATGGGAGATTTTAGACCAACTCATTAGACAGCACTCTCCACCACCATCATCAAAACACCAAATACAGAAATATCTTTTGGAAAAGTGGTGCTCCAGGGACTTGTAAAATCAACGACAAGGCACACTGAAGCTGTTCTGGCAGCACATGGCGGTCTAACACCTTACTAAGACACCTTATGTTGGTCTTTCCTATAATTTGTCACCCATGTACATTAGACATTGAAATTATTAATGCAAAACAGATTTCCTCTCACGTTTGCAGTCTTGATAACCTGCATTGAGAGTCAGTCTTTTACGAGCAGCAGGCTTAAATCTCAACAGCTGACAGCAATCACATGGTGCAGAGAAGCAGAAGAAAGCCCTGATTGTCCACCCAAGAGAAACAAAACAAAACGCACAAAGACTGAAATCACAAAGACATAATGTCCACGAACCCACAATCCCATGACAAAATCAAATATCTGCCAACCACCAGTTTCTATACTTACCGACTGACTTCGGGGCATGTTGGAGGATTTCTGTTATGAAGAATATCAGTTGAGTTATTTCCTGAATATGCATTTTAATGTACCATCTTCTAAATGAGTTGTACCATGAGCTGAAAGTGAACTACATCCAAGAAACACAATTCAATGAGCTACTCTGAACAGGTGACCTAATTTTAGCCTATATCTAGTTTTTAGACAACACGGCCTGGTTGTCAATATAGAGTAGGCCATTCTTGATTATTGGCCCATCACTAATACAACCTCCTATTGAAGTAAACACAGCTGCTTTTTTTCTATCTTGGAAACACCACAGTAGCAATTATCACAGACTAGTAGAAAAAAATGCCAGAGGAGACACTCCATATTGTGCAACCACACAGTCATCACCTCATCTAAGTGTCAATTATGTACAACTTTAAACTGTGGGGAACTAAAAAGAGCAAAATAAGACCGGGCAACATCTAACAACTAACACTAGGATTCAGAATAAGTCATTTTATTGTTTGCAAGCCTGTGAGACTGTGCCGTAGTTCCTGTATTACATTTATAGACAGGGAAATATCATGTTGGAAAAATGTGCTTGTATGTTTTGGTTGCAAAAAGCAATAACTCAGTGGTTCTCAAATGGTGTGCCGTGATGCAAAACCAGGTGTGCCGTGGGATTTTGTGATAACCACACACTATTATTACAATATTAAACTAGGCCTATACAGAAAGTAATGATGAATCACAGCCATTTCCCAACAAAGAGGCAAACTCAAGCTAAAAAATGTAATTGAATTTTACTTAATTTTATAAACCTTCCTGGTGAACCTGTAAGTGTGTGACACATCACATTATCTTACATTATTTCCCACTGAAATTGCTGTTATTTTTGCTCTGATGTAATTTTAAAAGTTTAAAATCAATTCTTGAATCACTTTATAACATATTTCATGAGAATCAGTTGATTGTCAATTGTTATTTAAAGTTAGTAAATAAAAACAAACATTTATGTTATGATAAAAGTGATAACACACCTTACTGAGGCTATTGTGCATAAATATAAATACAGGTGTGCCTTTAGATTTTGACTTGTCCTTTGTCTTGGGCACAAAAAGTTTGTTAACCACTGTAATATCTACTTTGAAGCTAGTTTAACCACAGGCCGAAAACATTGGGTGCACCTGCACTTTGCCTTGACACAGCTCAAGGGCAACATTCTTGAAATAAGTAAAATATATTTCACATATTAGAAAATAATTTCCCTTGTCTCTGTAAATGGGTGCATGTTTCTGTCTCTGATGGACTCCAAGTTCAACGATGCATGAAGTAATTCAACTCATTAGCCGACTACCCTACTCCATAAATGTTATTGTTATCGTTAGCTGTGTGCAATCCCAGCTAATGACTAACCCGCGGAATATGCGCGGCAAATTATTAAAGTTACGAGTACTTGACATTTAACGGGCAAAACGGAACCTAAGCAACGACAAACAAAACGTACAATAACGTTGGAGGTGGCTGCAGTGAGCAGTGGACAAACGCAAAGCTATGACAAAAGAGTTGGCTAGCGTCCACTGTTAGCATTCAGTATTAGCGTGCGTTAAATGTTAGCAACAAACCTTAGCTTTTCCAGCTGCTATTTTCTTTTGCCGTTCATCGTCATCCATCTCTTGGGTTGAATTAAACCATTAAGAGTTTAGGACATCGGTCCTAATTCAGCTTAAAAGCAAAATAGATCTTCACTTGTGGCATAAGTTGGCTAAAACTAAATCTTTGAGCTTCCTTTAGACACAACTGTCAACAGATAATATTCAATATGGCCGCCAAGTCTGCTCAACTCCGCCCTTATCGAGTTTCCTTGAATGAATGGACCAATCAGATTATTACATTACACGTCTTCAGCCAATGGGAAGGCGTGTCACTTAAGAACCACCTCCTGTCTTGTACATCATTCAAAACTGGAGTCTACTTGACCAATGAGATGGCTGTATTTTGGATTGACGGCTCTCGTAGCCAATCAGAACAGACTAATACAAAACATACCTCCGCTCACCCCTATGTTTTGAAAGTGAATGTATGCAGTTCTCCACTGACTGGAGGAACTAACTTACGTATGACAACTGAGGTGTGGTTACAAAACAGGGTCAAAAGGCCACCTCCATTCATATTACATCTATTCAAGCCATAATAACTGGTGTGACCTTTTGTTTTATTTGTCGGAAAACCCAAATGATTACACCAATTCATCTAGACATCTGAAGACTAGTTTTTCTAAATAAAATTAGCCCAGAATAGGCCTATATTCAAACAGGACATTTCAGTGACTTGATCAAGTTCTTAAGCTTTAATCTAAATAAAAGTGCAATCAAGGGAAAGTTGGATCTGAACTAATCTAGTCAGGTTATTTGATGTCGAAAGTCTCACTCCCTCTTCTCTTTCTCAGCATGGAAACCAAGTAGTTATGCAGGTCATTATGAAGAGCCAGTGGTAAACAGGTGTGTCCCATGGCAACTGCTGTCTGGCTTTAGTCTAGACTCAAACACACCGGTGTACACAAAAGTCTGTGTGTCTCCAAATGCCAAGATTTCAGGTAAATGACATATTTAAAGGATATATTTGCATATCTGTTTTATGTTTGTGTCTAGTATTTCAACAAACAATATAAATTCAAGCACACAGCAGATGTTACAGTAACACGGAGGCTTTTTGTAATCCTTAAGCATGACAGTTCCATGGTTGATCAGATGACAAGACTTAAACTCAAACTGCTGAAGAAGGTAGGTGAGAGTCTGCATTTTGTTAATGTGGAAAGATAGTGCTTGGATTTTGTTCACTTTTACAATTACTATTCTCAAGTGAAATAGTTCAGCATTATTTTTCTGTTTTACTTATATTTCTAGAGACTGGAACACAAAAAGCACAACATGGACGGCAGAGCAGAATCTGCCCAGTCTGCAAGTAAGATAACAAAGATTTCTTTGTTGTTGTTTTTTTACACTTATTTGTGTTACACCAAAAGACATACAAATAAAGAATAAAGACTTCTTTGTGATGAAAAATGTCGAACTGTGGAAGCTGTCAGCATAACCTGCCTCAACAGAATATTTACATTCTTCATTATAGACATTTAGCTTGTCCTATGACCTCAAAAGATGGCAATTAAAAAATGTAAAATGAGTTTCTAATATTTTAACACACTAAAAGGTAAAATTAACTTGGTAATAAAAGTTAGGCACTATGAAGAGACTAAGACTCCTAAAAAGGTAGAAGACATTTATTCACTTCAAAACAAGATATTAGAGCAAGTAAATGTAGCAGACATGGGGGAAAAATAAAAAGTATTAAAGGCATTTTTCAACCTGGACCCTATTTCCCTGTGTAAATTGATCAGAGAGACAATTTCTGAAATTGTTGCAGTACTAAGGGAGCCTCAGTGGCTGGCAGCCATTAAACAAGCTGCAATGGAGGCACATAGGGCAATCAAACATTGTCATTCTATGTCTATTAAAGTGATTATTTTTGACACATAGCGGCTCATATTGTTATTATAAGTGTCTGAAGTGTCTCTTTACCTTGACCATGATGCAGTCTGTTTGTTATTGCCTCATTAAGCAGAGTCTCTTTCTGAATTATCATGAGATATCACAAGATGTCACTTGCAGGAAAACAACAGTGGAAATGTGTGTGAGTTCTGGAGAGAGTATAATAACCAGAGTATTATACAGTAGTAGTAGGAGTAGTTTTTGAAAACTTGATTTGTCTGTTCAGGGAGTTACTGGTATGATGGACAATTAGATCAACTTCACCGTGCTCTGAGGCGAAAACAGGACCTACTGCAAAGACTCAGGGTTTGTACAAAATACTTCTATGTTTTCCAAGAATACAAAGTTTCATTTATTGACATATTATTGTAATTCCTTGCATACCTACATTCAGCCATTAAGACAATAAAACTATAGAAAGACAGACGACACACCCAGCAAGTTAGAGTACTTAATGTCTTATCTTTCAGCTGTAACTGTGTGAAATGTATAATCATTTGTGTACTGTATCTTCTGTGTAGGAGCAGTACATGTTAGAGGACCTCAACAGACCTCACACCTGGGGAGGGTCACAGAGACAGTACAAGTCACATTTCTACACTGCCCCTCAGCCACCGCCTCCTCTGCCATTCCACCAGCCAGCCCCTGCTCTGCCCTTTCTGCCCCCGCCACCACCAGCCCCGCCTCAGCCTCCGCGCATCATCCAACAGACTGTGAGACACTTAGCATTGACCTCAAAAACACCCCAATCCTCCAGATCTGTTTCTCTGTTTCTATGCGGTCTGTTAAGTGTATTTAATCCTCTTTTCCATCTCCTGATCTCCTTTTTCCCATTTATTTTTGCCCCTCTATGTTATTTTCACATATATTGACACTGCTACCCAGACCGACTTGCCAGGAGTTCATTAATTAAGGAAAAGACTTAATTATTTCCCCATCTTTGTCTGTCTCTGCAGCTACCACAGCAGCCTGCAACCATTATACAACAGCTGCCACAACAGCAGCCTCTCATTACTCAGATTCCCCCACCTCAGCCCTACCCTGCACCTGCACCACGCTCGGGCAGCATCAAAGAGGGTATGCAACAGCAAAGAGAGAACTACCTTATCTGAGTCTCACTGTATTCATGTGTTTTCTATATGTATGTGTATGCTGTGTGTTAGATATGGTGGAATTGATGCTGATGCAAAACGCCCAGATGCACCAGATCATAATGCACAACATGATGCTGAAAGCCATGCCTTCTGTATCACCACCTGGAGGGCCAAATGCTCCTCTAACTACATATCTTGGGCAGGTACACACACACACACACACACACACACACACACACACACACACACACACACACCCTCTCTAAGAAGTCTCAGTTCTGACCATCACAAAATTGTCCTCTCTGTCTGTCACAAACTCCCTAAATGTGTATTTCCAGGACAGTTACCAGGGAAACCCTATTTTCGTAAGGCCAGATGTCAAACCAAGAGGAAGTGCTGTCCATCATCACCATCACTATGCCCCTGCAGCACCACAGCTGCCTCCCATCTGTCACCCTACATGGCTACCAACTGTGTCATCTGTCCCAGCCGGACAAGCAGGGGCACATTTACCCTCAGTGCACCATGACACAGCCACTTTTACACTCCCAACACTCAATGTGTAAGGTGCACATGTACTCTGTGTCTAGTATTTCAAACAATTCATTTTTACTTTTACTTTTTTTAGCGTTCATCAGAGCTGAGTTTGGGCCTGATGAAGGTCACTTGACTGAAACGTCAGCATGTTTGTTTGACATGGTCAGAATAAAGTGGTGAAACTGAGATTAGCCAACTTTGTCCTGAAGATCTGTGTGTGCTACCTCTTTAAATTGGATATTATAATGTTGAAACACAACGCAGAATTTACTCTGAGAGTCTCTTCTTGTCTCTGAGTTGAAAATGAACACTTGTTGGAGGTGAAACCCTGTCTGCATAAGACTGGTCAAACATATGACGGCTAAAAAGATTTAAAAACTTAAGACATGAGCAGAAATTACAAATGCACTCATGGAATTATTTCTAATGGAAAAGTAACATACTTAAATATGTCCAAAATATATCATGTATTAATGGCAGTGAGACAAAAAACAGGGTATACTACTTTAACTTTTAATGTGCTTGGTCAACTCTGACCACGTGGGTCAACTTCGAGGTCCTTCTGGAACACCTGACACACCACATAAGGTAGGCTAATCATAGCTAAAGTTAGGTACAAGTTATTCCCCAAATAGTAAGTTAATTTTTGTTTGTATATCCGAATAACATCCAGATTTACATTAAATCGATGTAAGTTGCATTTTAATTAAACGTCTCATGATAAACTTGAGTCCTTGTACAACGCTCCTCCATGCAGTATAACAACCTGACCAAACACACATAGGTTAAGATTAACTGTATTTTAACACAATTAAATAAACCATTTATAATATTAAATAGCTGTTAGATCAAAGTTGATGGCTCCGTCATAAGAGCAGCCGGAGATGTGAAGTAAGAGAAAAAGTATCGATGCCCGAACTCGGACCTGAGCTTCCGACCCCCACATGATGGTGACGCCTTCATTAGAGCGGCTGTAGCCAGGTCAGAAAAAGCAAAAGAATCGCCGCCCGAACAGGGACTTGAACCCTGGACCCTCAGATTAAAAGTCTGATGCTCTACCGACTGAGCTATCCGGGCTCTGCGAAGTGAGGAAATTGGGCGAAATATGAAGATAATACAGTTAAAAATTCAATATCTTTGTTTGTACTGCCATGGAAATCTCAATAACTTTGGAACATTAAGAGCTAACGATAACTAGCAACCTGAAGTGTCAAGATAGTTATCCGTATGCTAATTCTAGAGCGCTGTTAGCAGCCAACATTAGCTAGCTAGCTAGCCAAAGCCAGCCAGCCAAAGTAGTAGCACAGTTAGCCGTATGCTAAATTTAGAGCGTTGTAAGCAACTAACACTAGCTAGCCACCGGAAGTTGTAAGATAGGTAGCAGTACGCTTACTTTGGAGCGTAATTAGCAGCTAACTGACACAAGGTAGCTACCCAAAGTTCAAGATAGTTTGCCGTGTGCCAACTTTAGAGTGTCATTAGCAGCTAATTGATGCTAAGTAGCTACCCAAAGTCCAAGATAGTTAGCCGTATGCTAATTTTAGATTGTCAATAGCAGCTAACTGACGCTAGGGAGCTACCAAAAGTTCAAGATAGTTAGCCGTATGCTAACTTTAGAGCGTCATTAGCAGCTAACTGACGCTAGGTAGCTACCCAAAGTTCAAGATAGTTAGCCGTATACCAACTTTAGATTGTCATTAGCAGCTAACTGACGCTAGGTAGCAACCCAAAAGTTCAAGATAGTTAGCCGTATGCTAACATTAGATTGTCATTAGCAGCTAACTGAAGATAGGTAGCTACCCAAAGTTCAATATGGTTAGCCGTATGCCAACTTCAGACAAAGATCTTTGCTTCAGATTGTCATTAGCAGCTAACTGATGCTAGGTAGCTACCCAAGTCCTAAGATAGTTAGCCTTATGCAAACTTTAGATTGTCATAGCAGCTAACTGATGCTAACCTAGGCTAACTGTACATACAAAGATGTTGAAAACGTTATCGCTAATAACTGAATGCAAACTTATAATGTAACGGCTTTTAACTACAAAATATGCACATTTAGTCAGTCACTGTGTGTCACTTTGTCGTGGTAGTTGTTTTTCAGTCTAACATACACACACAGAGCCTTTGCATCATTGCCTTGCCTTTAATGGATGAATTTACAGCTGTACAAAATGGTATTTTACAGGATTTATAAAACAAATAACAAAAGCCAGATACAATCACTTTTCATCTAAATTCACCGCACTACATCACTGCACCCTTCACCACACTGGGTCAACAGTATGACAGTGCTTCTTTATCCCCATCCAAGTGTACAACATAATACCAAACCTTTATTCACAACAGTCAATCATCATGGCACATCCCTCTGATAAATAAAATAATTAAAAAATATATATATACGAAAACATACACATACAAACAATCCCAGTTAAGTGACACCCTCTGCATCAACAGATTATTAAAGTGCATAAATTCTTATCTTTTAAAGAAATTGCTGCGTAATGACAGGATATTGGGGGGGGGGGGTCATGCTGTAATCTAACAGGATGTGGAGGACAGTTAGGAGAATGTGTGGACAATGGTCATGCACTTGTGCTTGAGGGTATGGCACAGAAGTCAATATTACATGCTTAAAACAGCCTCCATTGTTTCCTGCGCCCTTATAAAAGTGTTGAAAAGTAATGAATGGTTAACAATGAAAACCTGGGTTAAATCAGATTAAAATGTGCCTGTCTGATTACACGTCACAGACTAATGGCCTTATAACTGTGTGAATTTAATTAAATAAATATTCTGAATGATTTCTGTGAAATAACCTGATGACAATTATTTACACAGTGCATGTGTGCGAGCAGAACGCCGGGCTACGCTGTACAGTGGTCTTTTAAACAAGCGTCTATGTGTGCAAACTGAGCCAGACTCTGGGAGAAGCTTCTTAACGGTTTAGAAAATTCACATGAACTTTTTAAATGCAATAAATGCAGAGAAATAAAAAAATCCATCAGGAGTAAAATGATATGACTATTTGAGGCCTTCATTTGTTTTGTGGAGAGGCAGAAGCTGAAATACAGAGCACAGGGTAGGATACACAGCCTCCTGCCACTGGTACGGTAACATAAACACAATGCAAGTAATTGTGTCACCAGAATCTTTCTAAACACATTTTGGTGAATGCTGCTATTGTCAGAGAGACACCATACATTCTTCAAATTTCACCTCCTGGGCAATCTGATTGTACAACAGGGAAACAATACAGACAGCACAATTAGGATTATTGTGACAACATTTTGGGCGAACTGTTGTGTATTTTTCTACAGCACTAGCGCCATACTTTAAAGGATTCACTATTTTCGTTTACATCCCAGCAGCACATGCACTTTTATGATGTTATCTTTTGATGTTATAAAAGAGCATAGTGTTATCTGATGGTTTCAATGGCTGTTAGAAATAACTGGATCCTGTAGGTCCTCTTCTGATGCACACATACAGATATTTACCCTGTTTGCCTGTGTAGGCATGTAGTAAGTCTTACAGTATGTTTGAATGGTCGATGGTGGCATCAGTCGCAACTTATCCGGATGATTTCACTAGTAAAGTGTTCGTAGGGATCATGGTACTCCTCTCTGACACATCTTCACCTGTGTCAGTTTAGATGATGGAGAAACAGTTTGGTCAAGGATGAGGACGTGTGTGTGGACATCGATGGAGGGTGGGATGCTGATATTTATTCACATGGCTTGGTTATGTGATCTAAAGTAAGAGAAAGAGAACAAAGACGTCCATTTATTTGCAGTGCACACAGGTTAATTAACATCACCGTTCCAATCACACACAAACAGCATTCACCTTGTGTATGTGAGGAGGCATTTCATCCTCTGAGCTCTCCTCTGGTAGTGGCTCATGGTGTCGTGGTGCTGACTGACCCTCCTCTGCCCACCCTCCCATGGGCACACCCCGGGCTGACCTCACTATTTTCCCCCCTGAACCTAGAGACTCTGGAAAACAGAAAGACAGAGACAGTGGTGAAAAGTGTCAGTAATTAACACTGATCTGTACAGGACGTGGAGAGCTACTGTGCTGAGAAAAGGGCTGTCCATGCCAAGAATAATACTTTCCTGGAAGACTTAAATGTTGTGGGCAATGTTCTGTTTCTAGTAATTCCTGGAGCTTGCTTTGAAAGCTATGCATTAGATGAGATACGGCTGATTTGTGAAGTTGAAATGAGGAGTTATCTATACGATACTGTCTCATTTTACCTAAATAAGGTAGCAAGTTTAAGGTAAATGACCATTGCTGAAACAGCCTACTTGCCGTTTTGTATAGTCATGAGTGCAATAATATTAAAACAAGCAGCACTGAAATGCATGTGATGTGAAACATGAGGAGATAATAAAAAAGGTACCTGTGGCAGGCCCACTAGAGCGCTGCTGGCTGCTGCTGCTGTGCGATGAAGCCCCCTCCTGGCCCAAAGTGGTACCACCGATGGCTGAAGCTGAGGTGGGAATGGCACTGGGACTGGGAACTGTGGTGGGGAAAGTGTGTGAGCGAGGGAAGTGTCTGGAGTGAGGGTTAGGTTCACTCCTCACTTCATCCGGGACGCTGTCACTGCTTTCGTCGCTTTCCTGCCGGTGCCATGTGTGACGGGACAGCTCGCCACGGGACTGCTGCTTGTGTAGCTACAGGGTAAAAATGATAGGAAGAAGAATAGATAAAAAAGATCTGTGAGATATTTAGGGTAAGAAGACAAACGTGGCAACACACTGCTTTATTCAGTTTGTGCCTCACGCAGATATCCTCCACTCTCCTCCAACACATGCTCACACACAATTACCTCGTGCATGTAAAGAGCATGGATGCTCATCTCAGTGGAGGCGTACTCTGACAGGACCAAACTGGTGAGCTGACCCTCCCATGCACTGCTGCCTGAGCTCACAGTTCGGGCGTCAGTCCTACAGAAAGACAATGCAGACGTGTGGAGAAAATGAGGACATGAAGAGGAGGTGACAGGGATGAACAGATAATGAAAAGAGAGGGTTTAAACTAGGTTATCCATGGCGAAGCACGTTTAGATTTTCCTCCAGCTGCTCAGTAAATATCTAGTGTTGCACAGAGCCTGAAAAGGATTTAAGTTGAGGCATGATTGTCCTACCCAGAGCCTGCCATTGCTTTGTTCATAGTTGAAGTGTGGCCGGACGCCCTGTGAGCCGCACTCAAACTGCCTCTCAGGTGAAGACTGCTGCTGATTGGGGAGAGGGAGCGTAGGGCGGACGCCCCGTCGCCTAAGCCAGCCACTGCATGATTGGTCAAAGAGCTGTCCCTACCAAAATGAATGGAGGTCAGCGTAGAGGGACCCACCAAGAGGTTTGCGATGAGGCTCCTTGGCTGCAAGTGGCAGGAGAGTAAATCAGTTTTTACCTCTGTGGGTGTGATGACATATAACTTATGACCACTGTGATACTTGACATCAGTTTATCACCGTACCTCAGACTCGGACAGTGAGAGTGGATGCGAGTCTGAAGGAGCCCCCGTGGCCTCTCTGTGAACCCGTTCTTTCAGCTGGCTGATGAAGTGCGTGGTCTCCCGAGGAGGCTGCCACTGGGGGTTGGTGATGGCAAAGTGCATCAGAGACAACTCCGTCTTCCCGTCCTCTGCCTGTTGGTAGATGGACGCCTCTGTCTTCCCCTCTGACATCCACTACAGAGAATGGAAAGAAGGTCAGCCCACAGTAAGCACACAGACACTCATTCACTCATATTTCACTGTTGAATGAATGAATCTAATGCATGTTACAGTCTATTAGAGATGCCACGATGACAACATGTTTTCACTGATGCTGCTCAATATCTCTTCTGTAAAGTAATTACTTTAATCTTTAACTGAAGATCTAAAGCTGCGTTTGAGCTTTCACTGCAGGGCCCTGTTTTTACAGCCTCACTTTTATGGTGCGCTTGAAGGTGTGTTTGTAGATAAGAAACATTGCTTCCACCTTCATCAGGCAAAGTTTGCAGATTGCCTCATTAACGTTATCAGGTGTCCTGTTAGCACTGGGTTTAAATCTGTAATACCGCCAAATATGCACTTTTGCTTTTCGCTTTGACACCAAATCCTTTGCCACTGTCTTATCAGTCAACTCCCCTTACTCGTCACATGATGAGTGACATCTGACTCCTGCCACTTTGTGCTGCGACTCTGCTCCTGCAGACACTTTCAGTTTATAATTGTAGCATCCATGGCCAGACTTAAATAACATGCTTAGTATTTTATATTAGTTTTTTGGCCTAATTAAGTTAAAAAGAAAAGTGTGACACGACGGTGGAGGCAGTGGGCAGGTAATGTAATCAGTGTATGCTTGATCACCGTGTAGCACTGGTAATACCAATAACTGCAGCAACCCTTCAGTCTATACATAATTAATGTAGGTATTTTTCAAGCCTGTCTTCACTTGTCTATGTCTGTCTGACTGCACACCACATGTGCTGGTCTCTTACCGCAGGGTGTCCATGCTGCCTGATGTCCATCTGGGCAAAGGAGCAAGTGTCTCCAACCCCGACCACCTCCACAGTGAAGTTCCTGAAGAAATCAATGATCTCCAGAGACTTCCTCCTCAGACAGAAGATCAGGATGATGGGAGTCACCACTGGACTTATCAGCTCCTCCAGAATAAACACCTGGAAGAAAACAGGGGAGAGGGTTGACACTGTACACTCAAAAGGCAGAGTAGCATCCATCAAAGGCACTTCTGATTGATCAGTGTTCCTTTGTTTCTCATACAGATTACTGTCTAATTAATATCTGTTTATTTACTACATAAATATAAAGTAATGAAATGAACAGCTTCACTATTAACTGTATTTTATTGAATATTTCACAACATGTACAGCTATTTGATTACACCTGCATCATGTGACGAGGTATCATCAGTCCACTTGACAAGAGCAGCTTCAACCGCAGGTGCTCTACCTCTGCACATTTTTCAGCCTCCATCACTTGCAGCAATGACTGTTTCTTGATGTCTGAGTAGACTACACCATTTGCACACATGATTTAAATTTGCACCGCACCCACAGCCTCAAGTAGACAGCTGGAAGCAGATGGGTTACCGTGAGACAAAGGATTATGAAAGCAGGTTTTTAAAAAAAAGAAAAAAGAAATTACTACACTTAAAATGGCACTGTCATTTTGATGGATGGAGGAACACTTCTGACTTTAAAGGCGCTGTATATAAGAATGTAGCCAAAACAGTTACTGCACTCAAATTCAAAATACTGCCGCGAGTCGTGTCCGCCCCCCCTCCCCTACAGATTCAAGGTTGCTGGACAGCGGCACGCTGGAGACTGATTTGTTTGCCCACGGGCAGCTGCCGTGGCAGGGCCGCGTCACCACATCCTTGATCTTCTATCTTCCAGCGGACCATTCGAGCAAGCCCGGCTTCTCTGCTGCTAACGTTGCTGTCGGGATACAGCTGAGGAGACTGCTAATGCTATGTACTGGGACACTGCTAATGCTGCTTGTCGTGCTGTTGTAGCTCAGTCGTAACTGTAACTGATGCTGAGACTCTACTGACTGCGTGACTGGTAGACGGCGGTGGGTGGCACAACAGGCCAAAACACAAATTCAAAACATAAACATGATTTGCAGACCGTAAAATTTTTTTTAAAAATGCGAATATTCTGGCTGTACTATTGTTGTCAGTGAGATCAGTATGTTATATGAACATTATTCCTTAGTCTCTGTGACATATTAGGAGGATTTTACGACTATTTGCTTTAGATTTCTTACATATGGCTCCTTTAAGATTAAATATTCAAAATGCAACCAGCTTGGACTGTCAGGGATGTAATGTAAATCCCATTTCTTAATACCAACAAGGTGCTTTTTAGCATGGCACTATTACTTCATACGAACTTCTTGATAGCAAATAGCAGAAATATTTGGTGTTACCAAGGTTTTGTTTTTTGAGAGTCGTCATAGTTCTGTAGAAGCAGCACACACATAAGTGAAAACATTAATGATGGCTTGATGTCCTTGAGACAGTTTCCACACTTGCAGGGCCTTGAAACTGGCATATATTATTATTATTTATTGCTGTTTCTTGTATTTTTTGTTCTTTTTTCTGCATGCCTAGTTTTTTAAGCTTTTAAATATTGAAATCTTTAATTTGACTCTTTACCCTTGACTGCTGTAACACTGGAATTTCTCAATTGTGGGATCAATAAAGGTGTATCTTATCTTAAATACAGCCATCATTGATGTTAATTACTTACACCTCAGATTTTATGACAAAATGTCCACCATGTATATAGCACACTTTTAAAAAGTAAAAGATGCAGTGTGTAGGATTTAGGAAATGTACTGGCAGAAATGGAGTATATTTTCTGTGGTGTTTAATCACCTTAAAATAAGAATTGTATTTTCGTTACATTAGAATAAGCCATTTATATCTACATAGGGAGCAGGTCCTTGTCCACAGATTCTGTCATGTTGTACTGCCATGTTTCTACAGCAGCTCAGAATGGACAAACCAAACACTGGCTCTAGATAGGGCCATTCGCGTTTTTGTGTCGGCCACCATAGTTAGCAGCCCCTCCGCGATAAGCAGCATCAGAAAAACACAGATTTTTTAACTTGAAACCACTTTATTCAGTGTTTTTTCTGGTTTAAATCACTGGGTGTTTGTTCTGAAGATGGAAGGGACCTCTGTGGATTACGTGGCTCCTAGTAAAAACCTCTTGAACATCTGGATCTTAAGTTATTTGAGAAAAAATGTGAGCAGCGTTGAGTGCAAACACTGATTTGCAATTGTATATTGCTTTATTTAGTATCTGTGCACGTTTTAATCACACGGTTCATTTGTTTTGAAGAGGAAGAGACCTCTGTGAATAGTTCAGCTCCCGGTTAAAACCTCCTGAACAATGAACACTGAAGGAATCCTAACCGGGAGTTCATGTTTGGCACATGGGAGAAGTCTCAGCTGATCACAATCTGCAACCCTCACCGCTAGATGCCACTAAATCCTACACACTGCTCATTTATTCCCTCCAAATTATTCAGAGTTTCGATATTTATTCCCAGTTCAGTATTCATACTCACTGCTTTGTACTGGAAGAGCTGGGAGAACTGGTCACGAGTCTCATATCTATGTGCATTGCCCTGCCAGTGGTCGGGCATGTAGTGGATATGAGCCAGGATGACCCTCAACAGCTGCTCAGGACAAAACACCATGTGCTTATCTGGGATAAATGATCTGAAGAGACACACAGAAAGAGAGAGGTGGTGTTTACAAGACTGAAAACACTCTTAGTGAGTAATATTAAGGAAAAAACTGGTAGTGAGGATTTCCTGAAGCAATTAACAAATTAAAGACTATAGTTCTGGATGTAACTGTGAACACTCTGATGGATAGTTGAATGTACATGATAAAAATATATAACTAGAACTAGATTTTTCCACATAGTTCAATTCATGAGCATGTTCCCAAATATATCATTATTTCAATTTAGAGCTATTAACAGACATCAAATAGTCTAGAGCTACTTAAGGAAGGAAACCCTCTTATACTCATCAGTTATACAGCAGAATAAGCTGCTGAGGAGCATTAAAGGGATTACGGCTCCGGGTAGCTTTAAAAGGGCAATAAAGAAATGGTTCATGGTTAGCAGCCTTAACACTCCACGTAGTTGAAGATTTGTGTCTTCAATTCATGTTTTATATTTAGATCTGATGTACAGTGACAAAGGTAATCATTTGTAGGTGACTAGCAATGATCTCGTGATGCCATTTAGCTACTGTAGTTGTAGTAGTTCATTCTCCCCACCCTTTCTCATTGAGTCACAATGGAAATAAGCTTCTATGGCTTTGTCATGTTACTCTGAATCATCATTAAATGATTCCTCTGCGTTTATAAAATGCTTCTGTTAAATAAAATCATCATGTGTGTTTAGATAGGTTAGATTATCCTCGTGACACTAATCCCCTACCTGCAGACTGTGATACACACTCCCAGCAGAGTGATTGACGAGAGGACGTGTTCCACTGCGAGAACGTCCTCGTCGTAGATAGTCAGCGCGATGAGGACAGCCAGAAGAGACCCGGCAAAAAAGGCTACATTTTTGGCAACCACCGTCAGCAGTGGTGAGAGGAAACAGTTCATATACTTGGATGCAGCCTGAATAAAAAAGAGGAACAAAGGAAGAGAAAAATGAGGAAACGGGCATTTTATTATTGACTCTACAGGCAGTGGCACCAATATAAGCAGTAAGAGCATGGTATAGATGAGAGACTGGTAAATGGACTCGACTCAAAGCGCTTTTTACACTATGAGTCACATTCACTCATTCACACACATTCACACACTGTGCAGGGTGCCACCTGCTACACAGCTTTAACACACTCCTACACCAATGGAACAGCCATCAGGAGCAATAAGGGGTTCAGTATCTTGCTCAAAGATGCTTTGACATGCGGACTGGGGGAGCCTGGGATCAAACCGCTGATCTTCTGATTGGTGGACGACCCGCTCTACCCCAAGAGCCACAGCCGCCCTCGACATGTTTCTTGGCTGAGCTCTAAGTTTAGCTTGCTCAGTGGTGCTAGGGGAGCTAGCAAAAGATGTACGCCTCCTTCTGGAAGGTGATACAGTTGGTAGGTGTAGTTCAGTATTAAGAAAATAGTTCCTAGATGCAACTGCTCACAACAAGGTCTGTGGATTATCTTGAGTAACTGAGTCATGATTTCTGGAGAGAGACATTGCTGTTGAGTTTTTAAAAATGTATTTTTGGGCACTTAATGCACCCCAAACTATGTTCCATCTAGTTCCATTATATCTGAGAGAAGGCAGACATCTCTACAGCTGATATCTCAAACACTTGACAACTCACATCAGAACAATCTAGACTGACAAACAGAACTTAACGTGAGAGGAGAAATACATATTTTTGATTTGAGGGTGAACTGTCCCTTTAAATAGCATCAACTACTGGCAGGAGATTCACTGACCTTGTAGCCTTTGCTGAGGCGTGACATGAGCTCATGGTCCAACTCATTAAAGTGACGCAGGTAACATCGACCGTACAGAGACCAGCATCTCGCTCCCAGAGAACCAGGCTCCCTCTTGATCACCTAGGCACACAAACACACAACAAACTATTGTCTAAAACACTTAACTAACAAAAAGAATTGCATAACAGTTGCGTGTGTATGTGAACCGCCTACCTCTGTATAACTAAAGAAGGCGTAGAGAATCTGCCACACCAGAATGACTGGACACAGCAGCAGATTGGCAATCCCAATCCACAGGATGCGGGATGCTAGCCTGTCGGCCAGCTCAAGCCTGTTACTCCCTCTCTTGTACTCTGGTTTCAGGCTCCACTCATTCTCAAACAGAGAGCCTACAGAGCAACAACGACAAAAAACAAGGGAGATAAAATGAAGCTCAGCCTTGACAAATACAGTAGGTAAATATATGAGTGCATGCATGCAAATGATTCACGTCATGTGAATATGACACCACAGGAATGCAGACACATGCAGACTAAGCGTGTGTAATAAATCACATAAAACACAGACGCACCTGGTCCCCAAAAGAAGATGAGCTCAAAGTTGTACTTGAGACCCCGGGTGTAGAACACAGACTCCCCAAGAACAGGAAGTCGAAAACGCACAGGAAGGAGTGATTTATTCACCATGGCAACCTTGAGAAGGAAGAAAGTTTTGGTTTGAGGTCACACTGTTTCATTGTGCTTGAAAGTAGCTGTGTGAGGCATAAACAGCTCAGCTGCTAAACAGCGAGATTAACGTTTTATCACAAACGGACACACCATGTAGTTTTTAAAGCGAAGGATGCGGTGGTAAATGTCGAGCTCTGTGAGTTCCTTTTTATGGATGCAGATCTGGTGCTCCTTCTGGATCTCCACTATCCTGGCCTGAACCTCCTGCCATGTTGCATAGGGGAGTTCTGACTGAAGAGAGAAAGTGATGGTTAGTGGTGCAATGACTCTTACAAGAAATCTAGATGTATTTAATGGCCAAAAATCTTAAATATCCCTCTCAAAGATAATTGTATTGGTCTTACCATCGTCATCTTGAGTGCGTTTATGTAGAAGGACCGAATCTCCCAGTAGCAGCAGACATTGTAGATGAATTTGACCAGACGATGTAGCCAGAACACCCCAGAGATTATCAGCACGAAGATCACAAATGCATTGTCTCGGATACTGTGAGAGAAAATATGCCATGCTATAATTCAAAGATGTTCGATATCCTTCTTAAAAAATGTCTAATTGATTTAGCATGTTTAATGTTTCCATGCGGCAAAAATAAACACATCATTGCTAACCTAAATTTCTTAACTCATGACATGTTTCAGCTTTTTTATCAGTGACAATAAAACCTTTATTTTACTGCTCTTGCTTAGGAGAGTGTTTGGGGTTTCTTATATCAAACATCACACATCACATTTTCAGGCAGAGATGGATATTGCTAGGATTTTATAGATACAGCTACTCTTATCAATACTCCTTAGCGATTCAGAAAGTAGTTAAGGAAATTTATGTTATGGAACAACTGACTTTTTCCTTGAGACATGCCCCTAAAGCACGTGAACAATACTGGAAAAATGGAAATCTTATTTGACTGGATGGTGGCTCATAGATGACTGGAAGATTTCCAGGGGTCAAAGTAGGGGATCATGGGGACTTTTGTGGTCTTGAGAGACGATCATGGACACGGAGGACTTGTTGTCACTGACACTGCAGTGTAGCCTTGCTTCCTTCTATTTTCTGTTTTGCAGTGTTGGGCATTTCACCTTTGCCTATGATGTCCCTGCCTGTTGTTGTTAGTTTTGTCTGTTATTGGTTTTCATCAGTCAGTATCAGTCCTTCGTCCTGTCCTCTGTCCTCCTCCCTCTGCTGCTGATGTGATTCACTGCCTGCAGGTAATGTTACTGCTGGGCGTGGGAGGAGGGGCTGGTTTGTCTCAGCCAGTAGCTAACACGAATTAGCCAACTTTTAGGATACTTGGCAAACTAAGCTAAACAGTTAGACTACATAGAGACAATTTTTGCTCAGCTTGTTTTGCAGCAATTCACTATTAACTGAGGTTGTGCACTGTGCTTGTATAGAACAGTGTGGTGGTTACATCACTTTCTACATGTTTGCATATTTACGCTTGTTCAAGTTATGTTTTCTCATGCAAAAGGTATGACTGGGAGATAAACAACTAAGGAATAAAGGACAGCTCCATATGATAATTCACATCAGTGGTTTTGTGGCTTTTTGTGCCCAAGGCACACCAAAGGGCATGCCAAAATCTCAAGACACACCTGTATCTATATCTCTGCACAATAGCTTCAGTGATGTGTGTGTTATCAGTCCTATCACGACATAAGACAATAACAATCAGAAAAAAACAAGACAGGTAGCTTTCGTGATACTGTCTACTGACAGTGGTAGGTTGTCTTCACTGGTGCTTTGTTGTACTTTGCTTCGTACAATAAAGCAATCCATTGTCCCAGTCATGGCTTTCTTCTTTTAAATGTTATCAACCCTCACAATGGCTGCCAATCAGAGCTTTTGATGTGTGACACACCTACAATTCCCACACACCAACGACGACAAATAGGTTCCCCGTTTTTTTAGTAGCTAGTTTGCCTCTTTATTAGGACAGAGGTACGCACAACATACCGATAAACCAACACCTGGACTGGCATCACGGCACACCAGTATGCCACAGCACGCAATTTGACAAACACCGATTTACATCATGTACAAATGTAAAGAGTCTGTTTGAATAGTAAAGCGTTGACTGCTATGTACCTCACAAACACCCTCCTGAGCAAACACCTCTCCTCAGCTACACACTCGCAGTAAAGTTACAACTGCAGCTTCAACAAAAAAGTATCATCAACTAAATCAACTTAACACAGTGTCACACTCACCGGGCACTGCAGACTTCCATGGGGCGGAAGGCATCAGGCAAGGTGACTTTAGATGAATCCGTGTGATTTACAAACTTGTTGGCGAACAGTATGTCATAGTCCACACAGTTAGCTAGGAACACTGTGAAGCCAACCACAAACAGCAACTGACTGCAAGGAGAAAAAGAGAAAGAGGATCAAGCTCTGCCATAAATTAATCTCGTACAGACACGAGAGTCTCTCAGAAACATAATTTCTGATGGATGGGATACATACACCAGCTCAAAGATCTCTCCCAGCAGCATACAGGTGAATCCATTCTTCTGGTGCAGATTATAGACGTGATGGGCGTTAAGGAATACTGCACATTTATTTGATGGTGCAGAAGCAATAAAGCACAATTCAACTGTAAGGGAATACACGCCCATGTAAAAGGATATTCTCTGGAAAAACAGGTCCAGGTTTTCTATGTGGTGCCATTGGGCTGCAAAAGATTTGTTAACGATTAGTAATAGTGTTGAGGTTGTTAGGCATCACTATCAGTGTAAAAAAGAAGGGTGCATTTCTGTGTGTGATAAGTTTGCAATTTGTTTGTGATTTGTGTATGTGTGTCGTACATTTGGCTCCTTCAGGCACATGCATCAACAGGTTCTCCTCTCCAGGGGGAGAGTCGCTGTAGGACGCCTCCAGGCGCTGGTACTCTGTGTCAAAGTGCGCCATAGTGACGGCAGCTTCAGTCTCAACGAGTAGCTGAGCCCACTGCTACAGACTGGAGCACAGAGAACAGCAGGGAGAGAGAAGAAGAGGGCTGAAGACATACAGACGAGCGGTAAAAATGATGATAAGGAGAAGGGTTTACACATCATATGTTGGTTAATCATCAACTCACTTCAAGGCTTACACAACCTATATTTTGGAAGACAGCACAGACCACAGCCTCCACTGAGGCCTCACTATCAACACCAGCCTTGATTTTGAATTGATTTATTCATTATTGAATACTCTATTGATCTGTTAATCCCTCTAAGGAGAGGTCAGAGGTCAGGATCAGGAACAGAGCAGCAACGCCATAGCTGAATCCTTGCCGACAAATGGATTTAAAGGTAGATTTCCTGGTTAAAGGACAATCTGCCTCTTGTTTTAAATAGGCTACTCAAGTATTTCCACACATGCCTACATTTTGAGGGAGAGTAGATATAGAAAATGTGTCAGAAAAGCAAAGTAAATTTGTAATTTGTGACTGATTCAATGACAAATTCAACGAGTACCTAGTGTGTAGCCTATATGAAACTTGAGGTATGGCGTCAGTTAGACCGAAACGAGTTAAGTGAAACAAAAACCAAACAAATGGGTCTTTGACAAGGGTCTCTGCCTCGAGTTAGTTATAGTGGTGTTAGCAAAATCCAAAAGCCTCCAGGTAGATAATAATACCACAAGGAGGTCTGAAAGACACCACAGATTAAGATTGTGTTGACTCAAAACCATGATTACAATGCTTGGAGGACAAACAAGAGTCAGTGATGACAAAACGAGAATTAAGTACAAACAAAAATAACCTAAAAGAAGATTAAATATTCCTAAAGAAGGCATTTTGGCTAACCCAACTGTAAAAACAATGAATCTTGTAGTGTGATATAATATGTAGTTTGTATTGTAGGTGGGAAAGATGGGTGACATTAACCTATTAATCTATGTACTGTGTCCACTTCAAATCCAGACACACTGCCTCAAAGCAAAGCTATGGTGTTTCTTATGTCAACTGAAGAAATGAGCTTGATTTACCTCCATTGCAGTGCAGTAACGTCACGTCCCATCCAGCTTTGCTGTTTACTCAACATTCCCAGCTGTAAAAAAAGGAAGAGACCTTTCCTTTAGTCTTGTCTGGGACCATAACAGACAGCAGGACATGGCTGAATGCCATATTTATACTCAGGCAGCATACAGCACAGCACAGGGCTGAACCCACACAAAATGGCAGAAATAGCCGAGTGTTTGAAAGTAGTAATTAACAGCGACACATGAACGTACGAAGCCAACAGAGGAGAACTGATTCAAGTGTTGTTGTTGTCGTGGTTTGACAGCACAGGCCTGCCTCCCTCACAAAAAATATGTCGCCGCGTGGAGTCCTTACCGTTGGGTACCTCCGCCTCTGTTGTGCCGGGGTGAAACACTGTACCCTCCACGGGGGGTTTAAGCTAATACCCGTCTTGTTTTCGTTTTCTTTTCGTTGCCTCTCGCAGTCAAACAACAACCAGTTTCATTTTCGAAACAGCTAGCACTGTGGCGTCTGTCACCGCTGACGGACAGGAGCGTCGACCAATCAGAGAGAGAGTTTCCTAACTGTAAGAAGAGCAGCCAATCCGGTGCGAGCAGAGGCGGGCTCTATGGGGTGTTGCGTATATATATGACGGCAGTGACACGCCCTGCATGAGCCTCCATCACATTACTGTGGGTTGACTCATTGCTGTGAATGATGAGCCTTTACTGCCACCTGCTGGTCGGTTGCAGTAGCTTCACAATACAGTCAGAGAGGTTCTGTCATATTGAAAGCACACTCTTGGTGATGCTGCTTCATGTTTCATCAGTCCCTGACATAATAAGTATTATCTTACTCGTGGGTAAAGACCATATTAATTCTAGTGAGTGGAGGAATAATTTGATTTTAATTTTAATTTGATAGGGATGATTCAATCTAGCATAGAGAATGGGACTGATGTGTTGCACAGAGAGTTTATAGCTATTGCTGATTTTCACCTCTTGTCCCTAGTTGGGCTTTTATATGTAGACCTAACATGTTATCAAAAATATACAGTTTAAAACATTATGCAGCCACAACACACTATAAACATGAAAGACACAATAAAATACATAAACCACAAGACATACATCACAACATATCCCACAATACATCCACTACAATAGACATACCACTATACACATACACTTAAGTGCACATACCACAATATACAAATACATTTACACTAATAATTGGTACAAGTAATTGTTTATAATTCACTTAAAGCTGTGTTTATTGTCACCGGAAAAAAAAAGAACAGTGACAGGTCTGCAAGAAAGAAGTATTGACTTTTCTCAGCTCTTGTTTTGAATTATGGTCCTGCTATGTCACATTTGGATTGCCTGGTGTTTTAATTTGATTGCTTTTTTTTTTCTTTAATATTCTCTATTTATTTATATATAAATCTCCCCCTAGTCTATTTTATTTTGTTTATTTATTTTCCTCATCTTCATCAAGGTTGGCTATTATTTTGCTCTGTATTTGTATAGAAAGCACATTGTCTACGAGATGTTTTATGTTTATGCTTTTGTATGTTCTCAAAATGTTCAATAAAAGGTTCTATATTTATATTAAAAATAATAACATGCTCCTATTATGACGCAGACTTTGAATATTTTAAGGCGTCAAATATTTGTTGTGTCTTATTTTGAAATAAAATGGAACATGTGTTGTTAGTGTAGCCTACTACTTTTGCTTTACTGTAATACATGAACATATCAATGATGAGTCATCTGCAACATCTACGTAATTGCTTGCTCAAAGCTTGTGAAGAGAAAGTGAAATGATATTGCTAACAACATGTACTGCATAAAAACATGTAATATCCTCCTAAGACATGAACTTTTGTTTGATATGCATCTTTAATTTCACTTAGCTATTTGGGATCAGTAGGACCTGATAAGTTTTAAAATTAAACATTGTCAACTTATTAAAGTCCCAATGCCCTTTAACAAGCTCATGATAAATTCCCAATATCTTTAAATGAGTACTTCCTAATTAACAGTGTCTTATCTTGTCACTGTTGCTAAAATTGGTTAAAATCTGTTGCCATATCAAACTACAAACATTATTAATCACAAATAAACAAGTTTAAACCAAAGAATATGATCAGGTTTTGGACCTTGTCCACTTTTGTGTTGGGATTGGCTGCAGACTGACTTGGCAGAGATGGCTGCCATCTTATTTTTACATGGATTACTGTATTGTGCTCTTACTGCCACTAGATGGCACAATAAGTGTCCACGAATGGGGACAACAGGTCTACATTAAGAAGAATGAAGTATAAGGTCCAATAAAACCAATATGTGATGTCCTTATATGAGGTCACAAGGTCTCAAGAGGATAAAAGAAATAAAAAGAATATTATTATTATTATTATCATATATTATCTTATTATCATTAAGGGGCCTCCCTAGTGTAGTGGTTAGAGCACTCGTCTTCCATGCGGAAGGTCCAGGGCCCAAATCCTGCCGGGGTCGCTGTCAGCAAAGGCACACAGTTGCAAGAGGTTCCCACCGCTGAATCAAATGGGATCAGATTCCTTAAGGAGGCCTCAGGATAAGAAGTAACTCTAGAATCTGAGCCAAGTCCTCAACAAGAGTGCGTCTCAAGACCGTTGTAGACACGAGGTTCCAGACGTAACAGCAGACTCCTGGGAAGAGCTATGTAAAAGTGCTAATTAGAAAAATAGAGACAGTAGACAGTTGATACACTTCCAGTTATTTAATTTCAATTAATTACCCGAGTGTTTTAATTAATGAAAAAAAAGCTTAATTTCTCCACAGGCAAGATCATATATACACTCAACAGATATGAACCATAAAATGTCAAATAATAAATGAATAATAAATAAATTCTTATTTAGCCTATAATTAATGCCAAATCCCAGTGCCAAAGATTCTGACTCAGATAGAGAAAGTAGCACAAATACTGAGACTGGAAAGGACAGTACGGTTAATAATAGCCTACTAAATATTGCTAAATGAAAAATATTAATCTCCTAACACTGGTATTTGCCTGTGTGTGGTATTTCAGTGAGCCTACAGTAGATGGGGTGCAGGAGCTGACTCCAGGGCATCGAGATGATGCTCTACAAAGCCAAGCTCACCTTCTGCCGCTCTGTGCTGCGATGAATATTCATATATGATTGTTAAGCCTCTGCAGTGACAGCTGGGCTTTTGTTCACTGTGTCAGTGTGTTAGTTACACTGTTAACACCAATCAGTGTGTGTGTGTGTGTGTGTGTATGTGTGTGTGTGTGTGTTTGTGTGTACCTTTGTGGACTGAATTTAGTATAATGACTATTTCATTAACCTATCTCCCCAGACAGCAGTGAACTGGTAAGTGAGGTTTCCACCACACAGACACACACAGAGTCATTAATGTTTGCAATCTGACAGGTCGGCAGTTCTCTGTGCTCCTGTTGCCTCTCTCTGTTACACCTCCACAATAAAGCTTTCACTCTCTTCCTCTCCTCCCTCCTCATTTTCTTATTTCTCCTTATGTATGTGGGACTGTTTGGGGGTGGGGGTGGATTTTAAAAAAGGGGCAGGGGTGTCTTGAGTCAGGAGGGAGTCTGTGTAATCTAGTTATTATAGTGATCTGGGTAATTTAATCTGTTCTGATTAGGATTAGGCTTCATTCAGTTTAATACAGTTGAAAAAGTCTGCCACAACTGAGCTCACTGGCTGATAAACACCAAACAGTAACTGAGATATAAAAGTCATTTAATGTGAACTTCAGAGTTTCTCACCATAAAGCAGCGTCTCTGATGATCTCCACCTAAATTGAAGATTTAACCACTTTATTTTATGTTATTTCACTTAATTTACTGACATCTGTAGAGGGAAAATTAAAGGAGCAGTCTGTAAGATTTAGGGGGATTTAGGGCCTGTGTCTTCATAGCATTTCAATTGTTCCCGATGAGGAGAGAATGTATACAGCAGCATACGGCCCCAATCCAGCATCTTTTTTTTTTTTATAGAGTTGTTCAGCCACTCCAAGCGCTTTTGGTTGAAAATCTCTGAACATTTCAGAAAGGCACTGGCGATGTCACTGCTGCTTCTTTAGCTAGGCCACTGTCACAAGAGAACAGTCTCTCCGAAGCTGTCGAAATGCGGCACTTGGGGAGTGACTTGCGGCGTCAGAAACCAACAAAAAAAACTGTCCTTTAACTTTGGCATGATATGCAGCCGGTTGTCGTTATAATCAAATGGCGCCCAGCAACGTAGAGCCTACACTGTAACCTACACCGTAGCCTAACTTGCACCTCCCCAGAAATGTAACTACACATTGTGGCTACACAGACCTCCTGTTTATCTTTGTAAGCTGAAACCATTTCCAAAGCTTTTAATTACTTCAATTTCACAAATAAGAAACAATAAATTGTGAAGACAATAAAGCCTCCACAGAAAGTCTTTCAAGTCTTGTGTGTGATTTACCCTGGCTGCTTGTTGCTAGGCTAATTTATGCAATGTAAAATGCCATAGGCTTGTGCTAATAACATTAGCATGTTGTATAGGGAAAATGTGTTTAGTATAAGACGAGCATTTGTCTGTGAATGCTGCGAGTTATAGTGAAGCCAATTTGTGTAATTGTGTTTTAAATTTTCTCTATTAAGTCATGTTTAATGTGTGTTTAGTGTGTGTTTTGTGTTTTGAAGTTTGGTTAGAGGTCATCTACTTTTTTCTCTACTGAAGTAGGGTTATTAATGCAGATTTTTTTTCTAAATATTTCATTACCACACTCATTGAAAATAACCACTCATTGTGTTGTGTGATCTACTGTGTGTGTATGTTTATATGCGTGTGTGTGAGTGTCTAAGCATGATAGTGCTCTGCTGCAGGCTATAGCCGGCTGATTAAATTACCCCACTGTCTGTCGGGAATTAGGGGGTTGCATTGACAGCTAATTTGGTCCAAAGACGTGCTGTCATGCTGCCATGGGTGGTGCTGGGATAGTTGGGGTGGGGGTGGGGTAGTGGCAGGTTGGGGTGCTGGGAAGAGGGGGGGGAAAGGGGGCAAGGGGGCAGGGAAAAGGGAATTAGGATGAAGTCTTCTCTCTTCTAGGATGAAGTCTTCTCGCAAGGGGGCAGGGAAAAGGGAATTAGGATGAAGTCTTCTCTCTTGAGCGACTTAATTAGATCAAGCTCCTTCCTGTATGAGCACCCATGTGAACCCAACACAGCAGGTATGAAATCTATACACACACATGCACATAGATTTACACAAAGGGCAGTGCTGGACTCCTTAACAGAAAATTTACATCATGGCTTGTCTTCCTCTCCCTGCTGGTACCCCTGGGGCCGTCTTCCAGCAGCCTTAATTGTCCCATTTCCTGTCGGGCTTGGCAATCATACCTCAAAATACTGTTTTGTAGCATATAAAACTAGAAATTGAAAGATTAAGTTTCTGCTACATATGAAATGTATAAATGTAACATTTGTGGTTTTCAGAAATGTTTAACTTTTATTCTGGTGACAGGGTTTCATTT